TTATATCGAAATCCTCCGACATTCTTCTTTACAAATCCTCGTTTTGTACTTCTAATTCGTGACCGTTGTTTTGTTTTGATCTCTCCCCTGCGCTTCCGCGTTAATCACTTCTGAGCGGCGCATGCGCAAAGCCGACCTCATACGTCATCCGCCCAGAACTGCTTCCATGTACAACTGTTGGCGCAAGCTACATTAAAGTGATTGTTACATTTTGAATATTACAAAAATGCATCGATTCGCTACAGGAGGCCTTTGTTCACCCCCCGGAGCCATGTGAGACACTTTTTTTATGAATGGGCGCTTTTTATTTAACTTCTTTTTGACTGATGCATGCAACACCTGCTGAGTGGCATTAAACAGCTTGAAAGATCAAAAACAATCTTTAATATAACTCCGACTGAATTCGTCTGAAAGAAGAAAGTCATATACACCTAGGATGACTTGAGGGTGAGTAATTTATGGGCTAATTTTCATTTTTGGGTGAACTAACCCTTTCACTATTTATTTAGAGAAAATCAATTGATAGCACCTGACTATTGCACTCTGACAGGCAAGAATAGATACAGACAAATTTGCATATTTATTGCATGCTGGTGTTATAGGAAACTGAGAAATTATGGATAGATATGATGCTGAAGAGATTGAAGAGAAATATGTTTATATTTGCACACACTTCAGGTGCTGAAACAGCAGCATTCTCAATAAATCTTGAGTTCCATCTGTCCCTTTCCATCTCTCTCTGTCTCATTTCATATTTACTCTCTTGAGGGGAGAAATAGGAGGACCAGGCTAATAAGATTCTCTCAGGCAATCTTCAAACACAAGATGACAGATCATATTTTTGAACCACATTCATCTGCAGTCAGTCAGGTCTGTTTCATCCAGGTCCATGTGTTATTTTTTTGATAGTCCAAGAAAAGCAGACAGAAAATCTTTCACTTCTTCAAGAGGAAATTAGTGGCTTTCAATGCAGATTATTCCAGTGCCACTCTCTGTCCTTCATTTCCACACTTTGCCTCTTTCCTTTCTGTTGAGGATGAAGTTCAATTACCCTCTTGTCAAACAACATAATTTTCAGGTAAACTGAGCCGTGAATTGATTTGGCCCACTCTCTGAAAGCTGTGCAGTCAAACCCAAGTAATTGATGGGTTTGTGATTTGTGGCTCCACACTCGCTTAACGCCAACCACAGTAATTATTTATTGGCCTGTGCGTGAGACTGGCACTGCCATTCACTTTTCACTCAGTTGCTGCTCCAGCTCATCTTTCTTTGGTATTTTTTTTAATACTTTTTCTTCACAATTACTACATTTTCTAGTCTGTCCCAGGACTGTAAACTTGATTTGACAAACCATAAAATATAAAAACATATAAGTTAATAAAGGTACAGATTTATGACATTATATTAACATTCAGATTGCAGAATCATCTGATTGTGTACAAAAATAATAAACACTTATTTAAATTTTTTTCCCCCTCCCCATTCTTTTTTAGAGCCGGAAACATGCAAACAAAGTGCGTCTTTATTACATGTTGCATCCAGTAGATGGGGGATGTCCAGCTAAGAAGCTCAGAACAGATGACGTGAGTATCTCATCCTATTCTTTTTTTATTACTATTACAAATGACACCATTCTTTTTAAAGATCAGGGTGCTAAACCTTTTTTCTTTAAAGGAGTTCGTCTCTAGGTTACGTATGTAACCATGGTTCCCCGAGGGAACGAGACGCTGCGTCGAAGTCGCTTTGGGAACGCCCTTGCGTGACCCCGTTCTGAAGCACGTGTCAAATCAGTCCAATGGAGTAGCGAGACGTCACGAGCGGGGTGACGTAAGCACCAGAAAGTATAAAAGCGCATCCGGCAGAGCGCAAACCAGCTTCGATGAAGTAGCGCCTGGAGGGATGCAGGGAGTATGGCAAAGAGACGCAGCGTCTCGTTCCCTCGGGGAACCATGGTTACATACGTAACCTAGAGACGTTCCCCTTCAGAACTCGAGCTGCGTGGAAGTCCCTTTGGGAACGAGAATACCCACTGCGCCATACCAAGTCCCTGCCTGTGTGTGTATCTTGCGAGCACATCACGAAGCGAGAACTTGGGAACCTGGGGTAGATGCCAGGTCTAGGTTGTAAAAACGGACAAAAGTGTGCGGAGACTTTTTTTTTTTTTTTTTAAAATAATATGCTTCATGAACTCCAACCATTAAAAAGCACTTCATTTTATGCTTTCTTTAATGCAAACATTTAATATAATAGATTGAACTTGTGTATGCAAATTTCTTTTGAAATCAAAGTAAATCAATTTGAATTACAAAGAAGCAACCTGCATCTGTGGACAGTTTGGCTATTATTAATGTATCATATTTTCTGCCATATTAGTGAGTGCTATAGAATTTCAATGTGCACTTTAGTTTCTGTATGACAGTATTTAGGTGGTATTTAGCAGATTTTGTATTTTTTATTTTAAGGGGATGTTCATGTAGGATGCGTTCTTGCATTTAAAAATAGGTAGTTGGAGTACAATGAAATGAAAATGTGTTGTTCATTGCGAAAGATGCTAAAAAAAAGCAAGACATGTCAAGACACCTGTCTGAAACGTATTTAGACAGAAACTTATGTTTCTTTTATTGCATGGTTTTTCATTTGTTTATAGCTGGGATTATTTAATTGTGGTACTGAGTGAAATCATAACTAGTTCCCCTAAAATCAAGTCCTCCTGGAAGAGCTCTGGCAAACCCAGAGTAGAAAACCTTCTTTATTGTACGTTTGTTAGCATGGTGAGTACTTAGAGTTACTGGTAACACTTTCGTATAGGGACCAATTCTAACTATTAACTACTTGTTTATTAGCATGCCTATTATTAAAATATTGGCTGTTTATTAGTACTTAGAAAGCACATATTATTCATGACCATACTGTATTCTACATCCTTAATCCTACCCAATACCTAAACTTAACAACTACCTTACTATTAATAAGCAGCAAATTCATAGTTTATTGAGGCAAAAGTCATAGTTAATGGTTTGTTAATAGTGAGAATTGGACCTTAAAATAAAGTGTGACCAAGTGACTGCAGCGCCCTATTTATGGATGATTGTAGTGGTGACTCAAGGGTTGTAGTACATCTGTCCAGCATTTCATCATAAGGAGACAACAGCTTGGCGTGTGTGAAATGTAATGTAAATCTGGTTTTGTACTGCATTGTCACTTTGAGTTAATAGGTGATCTTATGTGGGTACAAGCTTGGGTTTATGAATGGAGCAGTTTTTAAATGAAGGCCAATTAAATTCAAGAAACAAACAAGAAAGCTCAAGAAAGTCTAACTCAATTCTGAACTTCAGCTATCTTCTGAGATGAGTCTCGCTGAGATTATAGTATGCTTCTCTCAGTAGGATAAAGCAGGCTTCTGCTTTATTGCCATGTTTGATGGGCTATTCACACAACGAGAGGGGTTCATAAACACAAGGATGTGTGAATGTTGCTGGGATCAGCCTTTTTGTGCTCTCGGCTGGGCAGAGAAAGTCTATGATGCCTGTGGTTTTTGCAGATGTTACATGTTCTTTAGACAGCTTCCAAACAGACCAACAAAGCTCTCACCGCAGGAGACCAAATGCACATCTAAATGTTTATGCGAGAGTCATAGAATGCAAAATCGTAGCCATCGGCTATGGGATACGGTTAGAATTAAATGATATTGAATGCTGTATATGTTTTATTGATATTCTGTAGGGTCACAGTAATTGTATACATCATTAGACAAGCTATTGAGGTGAGGACACTGGCAGAGAATTGCAGTAATGAGCTGCTTTTGAGTTCTTCGATTGAACTTTAACACTTAGCTTGTATCAGATCGATAGTAGCAATGAACAGACATTCAAATAGTCTCTGCAGACAAACTAGACTTTGTGCAAGTTGGACAGCAAATATTAATAAGCCATTACCCGCTGAAGATGCAGAAATATGGACGTCTTGTCAATGAGTACAGATAGGCCAAAACTGGCATTTTTTTCAGAAAGAAAAGAGAGAGAACAAAATTAAAAGTGGCTACATTTAAGAGACTAGTTAGGGTGCTTTCAGACCTGTAGAATGTTGGCTTTTTAATGAATAAAATCCCAATTTTGTAACAATGTTTTATGCTTTCTTATACATATGGTAACACTTTATTTTAAGAACCAATTCTCACTATTAACTAGCTGCTGATAGCATGCATATGACTAACATATTGGCTGTTTATTAACTGTATATTATACACTCTTTGGTTTTGAACTGCAATAATTAATGTGCTCGCCTCCAGAATTAGACATTATTGCTTTTTACATTATGCATTTCCCATTATGAATTATGATACAGCTTGGTTAGATTCCTTTCTCACCACAAGTGAGCCACTCCAGAGTTCGTTTTTTAATCGAGATGACACCACCTCATTCAGGCACTCTCTAAACTATAGCATGTAAGTCACATTAACTAATTTTGTTTCTTTTTTGTTAGTGGGGAGAGAGAGCTGTTCAAGTCTTTAGTTTGAATTAATTACATTTGAATGTTTAGGGTAGGTTTTCCCACTTAAATATTGAGTTAATCCTCTTACACTCTCTTATCACTAATCAGTTAATGTACTTCTGAAAATCAATATAAAAATAGTGCAAGATGTGGAATTTTTGTGATTACCTTTTCTCTGTCATTAACCTTTAAACGTGATAGAGAAAAACCAAGTCAGGAGGCGTTCAGTCAAAATCAGCACTTTTTACAGTGGGACCGAGGGAGTAGAGTGGAACTGAAAGCAATTATTTTTCCACTACATTGTTCTTTCTGATATTTATAGATCAATGAACTCTACATGACTACTGTTGTGTGAATGCTGTTGTAATGTTTTTGGCTCCACAGCAAGAAAAAAAACCAACTGAAAGTTTTGCGCCAGCAATTTTGCTTCAGTGTAAAAAGCTTAGACATACTGATTTTCTTGATTTCTTCAATAACAATGTTGTGTGAAAATTGTTTGTCCAAACCATTCTTTAAAAAACTGCAAAACTACACCTTCTACAGTTTAAATGTTAAGGGGAGTCCTTCATAATTAAAGGTAAGTAATTTCATTATATTGTCAACCTGTCCAACTGTACAGTACCTGTCAGTCAATGCTACACACAAAGTGCTGCCTACATTTTCTTTAGATTCTTTCCCAGAGCACAGGGTTGTGAGGGTAAACTGGCCCTTGGCCAGCGGAGAACTAAAATTCACCTGCATTAAAGAGTCAGTAAGCAGCCAAGTTCTAACAAGCCGTCCTCTGCTCTCTCAACGCCTAATAAAGTGGCAGCAGATCGTACAGGAGATCACCGGTCACATCCATCTGCTTAACACAAATCAGCTGTCTGCAGCAGCTACTAATAGCTACATGGTCCCCTAAGGACACTTTAAAAATCTCTCCCAAAGTCTCCAGCACACTGTAACTCAATGCAAGGGCTGTGGCGGAGGATACAATTAGCGGCCTGGGACAACTTCTGCACTGATCGAATAGCCCATCGGATACTTACTCCTATTTAATTAGCGGTGATTAAATCAACCCCTGCCGGGGCTCGTGTTTCCAGGGGAGAGCAGGGCAGACGGAGCGTGTGCAGAGGACAAGAATGAAAGTAGAGAGAAGAAAGTGAGCTGGAACTCGAGCCTGGATCTTCAGCTTTTGTTCTAGACTTTGTTTCACTCAGTTAATGACAGATCAGTGACTGTGTGTGGAATGTCCAGACAGCCTGAGAGTGATACAGCAGTTTCCTCTTTACATTTACATTTCAGTTTACGCTTCTCTCTTGGATATCAGCAGAACTCATTTTGTCAGGGTTCCACATGTATTAATAATCACAATGTATATAGCAAACCTATAAAAACACTGAACAAGTAATGGGATGCATGCATAGATGAAGCTTTGTTTGAAGGGGACATTGGATGCCTATTTTCCAAGTTGGTATGATTCTTTAGGGTCTTCATAAAATGTCTGTGTGTAAAACAACACCCTTTTTACCTGGTCAAAAACAGCTCTAGCTCACTGAATGACACCGTTTCAGACTCAGACAGCCCATAAAAAACTGGCTGCGTGTCTTCTTTTCAGCTGTTTGGAGCTGGCAGACTGACCAGAACTAAATGCAAAAAAAGAAAAAAGAAAAAGAAAACCTACAAAAATGAAAATTTCATCCAATATCCCCTTTAAACCTGCTCTGTTCTCTCTTGCTGCCTAGTCAATGTTGTGCAGTCAGTGGTTGTGTATTATTATTGCTGATAAGTGTTATTTTATTATTATTATTTATATATTATTGTATTTATATATTATATTTTTTCAGTTTTCTTTTTAATAATTTATGTTTGAGAATTTGAGTAATTTTAAATATTTTGTATTTTTTTTACAAGTTTTTGTTTTACTTAATGTATCTATTTAGCTATATTTTATTTTAAGTTAACAAAAAAGATATTAATAGTTTTTGTTAACAATATCAACACTGTTGCTGATTTGACTCTTTATCACCTGCCATAGTTTTAGGCAAGATTTTTTTTTTTTTTTTTAACAGTCGAGGAACCACAGGCCATTTTATTTTGAGAAATGCTGCTC